AGGGCTTCTACATTCAGCTTGCTCCAAAGAGTGATGGAGCACTCCTTGCTTATGCCTCAAATCAGAAATGCATGAAGTGCAGCTGCAGAGATAATACATTTTCCCCAAAGGCTTTGGCTGAGCAAATTAGGTGTCAATGGGGTGCCCGCGCAGGCAGTACTCTCTCTAATTAGTCTCTTGAGCCTAGTTGGTGGCGGGTATGAGATGATCTAATCAATTGGTCTGTGTGTGATGGTTGGTGTAAAAATCCTACCAGGCAGACTCTCTCCCACAGGTCATCCACCTGCACAGCAGGACTCCTCATTTTCATTTCTCATCTCTTCCATCACATGATGCTGACAGTTGGTTTTAAGAAAATTGAATCCAAAAAATATCTGGTTCATAGGACACATGGGTCAGAACAAAGTTGCATTATGGGTACCAGTGATCCAATTAATTAATATTTATAGCTGAGAAGCTCTATGTAGATACTTCTGAAAAAGGATTTTATCAATCGAATCCAATTCCTTCTTTAAAACATTCATTTTAGAGAAAGCTCATTGTGAAAACTGAAAACTAGATTAAAAATGGCGCCCACCTGTCTTAGGATTTACATACCTCCGAGCAGCTGTGCATGCCGACCATTCAGCTTACAGTTTGTATTCGCTGTCCATTTGTATTGTGCCTGTGATGCCCTTTAATTAACAATCAAATGTAAGAGGGAGATTTACATTGGCATCATAGTTTACTTGCCTGTCAAAGCATATCTTCACTCCTTCAGCCTAAATCCCCACCCATGAAATACTTGATTGCACCTAGATTTCTAAAAATGGTTTAGGTGCTTTCAGGTAATGATGCCCAAGGTGGGAGGATGAGCATCCTGCGCTCTGTAAAAGCATCCGGCAGGGAGGATGAAACAGTGTGGGCTTTTCAGAGTCATCTCACAGAGGTGGGAGGCATACTGTCATTGGCGCCTCCTCTGTTTTCTTATTAGGTTCTTCCACTAAATGTCAGAACCCAAAGCTAAGTGGCAGACTTGCCATGACCACTGCATTCACCACTTACTAGCCAATTATTGCTAGTGTGTATGGCCCTTAATATCTAGTTCTGCTACACCTTAGATTAAGTATGTATGATTCTCCTACAGATTGCAGTCAGAATCAGGACAACCCAGGCCAGATAAATAGTATCAGTGTGTAGAAAACATCTTTAATGATGAGAGGATAGTCAAGTGTATGGTGTCAACATAACTTATTGTTATGTGAAGTCACACATATTGTAAATCAGAACATTCTTTTTGAATATAATGTAGTGGAGTAAAAAGTATATTTTCCTATACCAAAGAATAAATCCTTCCCACCATTCCTGACTAGTGCTGTGTCTGTCAATAACTTTCTTCTCTATACCAAGCCAAGTGGGCAATGTGGCTGAAATAGCTGCTTATAGTTCCACTGTCCCAGCCACAAGGAAAATCTGTCTAGCTTCAGTGAATGTGCCATTCCTACCCATCCCTATGCTTTCGGATCCTTCCTTTTTTATTTTCTGCTCTTCCTCAACTACTTCCTGTGTACCTGAGCTATGCCTGTGTCCTACAAGGGTTAAGACTTGGTTTACTCAGTAATATAATTATTCCACATGCATCTTTAGCTTGCTTCCTCAAAGGAAATATATCCAGGGGAACTAAGTGTCTGGTTTAACAAGTCAGCTTGGGCACCAGGTCTCCATCCTGTTGGTTACAGTGGTAAGAGCGAGGAGAACCAAGGAAAGACTGCATCATTTGGGGAGAGTCATAAAGGTCCCATGCCTAGACAGCAAACACACACAGCTCTTGTGGATGGAGGGCTAGTCTCCCTGGAAGAGTTGGGACCTTATTCGCCTTCAGCTTCATGATGCAAAAAGGACATCTCTGCCTAATAAAAAGGTCAAAATTGGTGGTGAGATGGGGACTGGACAAGGATGCTTGAAATAGAACGTGTTGTGGAAATACTGTAGGGACAAGTGTTCTCTCTTCTTGATCTCAAGGACCTTAGAAAGAATTTTCATGCCTAACTCAGAATGTGTGCAAAGTGCATTTTCTTTCTTTTTCTGGAAGAAAGGGGTGGAGGTGGAGCTCTAGGGGTTGTTCCGTGTTCTTGCTTGTGCTATGCTTGTGACTTCTTTTAGAAGAGATTTAATAAAGGTGTCTTTGGGGTAGAGGCGAGGGATAGATTCCTGTGGATAGCGATTGCTACCCAGAGCAGCAAACATTTAAAATAACAATGGATGAGTTAGGACTTGGAAGTAGCAAAGGGTTTATGTGCAGTATCTCTCCAGACCAAGACTTCTCCAGGAAACAAGATCAGAGGCTTTGATTTACATCCCATCCAGTCAGGTGGCAGAGAAGTTTCAATAATAGAAGGTGGTACCTCGTTCATGCCATAACCAAAATGCATGAAATGAATGAAAGACCAAAACTATAGGAAATCATAGAAGAAAACATAAGATCAAATATTTAGATTTCACTGTGCATTTTTAAATGTGACACCAAAAGCATAAGCAATGAAATAAAAATATTACATTGAACTTCATCAAAATCCAAAGAATGTTGTCACTGGCAGTCCTTATTAGAAAGTTATTTTCAAGTTGTATATTTGATGAGAAATTAATTAATGTCCCAAGTGCACGAAGAACTGCAACTCGGCAGCAACAACAAAATGAATATATATTTCTCTGAAGAAGCATTTCCATATGACAAATAAGCTCATTAAAAACATGTTCACCACCACTAACTGTTAGGAAAAGGCAGATCAATAGAAGTAAGTCAGTTCACCATAACAGAATAACTATAGTTAAAAAACAAAGAAAAAACAAACAAGTGTTGACAAGGGTGTGGTAAAGTTTGAGTTCTTCTTCATTGTAAGCAAGGACCTAAACAGTGCCCTCACTGTGGAAGGTTTTGTTGGTTCCCCAAAACTTTAAAAGTAGAGTTACCATTTGACCTGGGAATTACACCTGCAGGTGTATAGCCAAAAGATTCAAATCAGGCATTGGAGCAAACACTCACCACTTGCCACATCAGTTTTACCTCTGTAAAACAACTACCACAGGGTAATACAATTCAAGCATAAATTAACTGATGGATAAAGACCATGCGATATAGCCATATAATGAGACATTTGTAGCTGGAGTTATTGCCAGTTCCATCCGGGCCGCAGCCACTCAGACCCAAATAAACACACAGATGCTTATATTATTTAAACTGTTCAGTCTAATGGCTCAGGCTTCTTGCTATCTAGTTATATCTTAAATTAACCCATTTCTATAAATCTACACCTTGCCATGTGGCTCATGGCTTACTGGTACTTTACATCTTGCTTCTTATAGCAGCGGCTGGCAGAGTGTTCCTCACTCAGCCTTCCACTTCCCAGAATTCTCCTCTCTCTTTGTCCCACCTATACTTTCTGCCTGGCTACTAGCCAATCAGCATTTTATTTATTAACCAATCAGAGCAACACATTCACAGCATACAGATATCCACAGCAGACATTACTCAAGCATTTTATAAGATAATGAAGTACTGATACATACTACAACATGATGAACCTTAAAAAATTATGCTAATTGAAAGCTGCCAAATGTAGCAGGTCACACATTGTATGACTCCCCTTAGATGAACTATTCAGAATAGGTAATGCCATAGAGAAAGGAAGCTAGTTGGTGCTAGACAGTGGGTAGGACAAAGGACCATGAAAATGACTACTGTGAATGGTGTCAAGTCTCCTTTGAAAGTGCTGAAATGTTTTGAAACTGGATAGAGATGACTGTATAGAATTGTGATTGGACTGAGTACCACCCAAATATACACCTTGAAATGGTTGATTTTGTGTTACATGAATTTCACCTCCATTGAAAAAAAAGAACTGAAGGTGGGGGTAAAATTCTAAAAATTCATCAGAGTAAGTGATGATCAGTAAAGGGTAGGGGTAATGTTGTTCTAATGTGTCTTAAGTATAAAAATGGAACTTTTTGCACTCTTGGTCCATGCACTGCTAGTTCACTCCCAGGCAGGGAATGTCCTCAATGCTGTAGCCCATGAGAGCAGTGTCAGGGCAAGTGGATAAGGACTCTGAAATAGTCAAATCCATGGGAGAGCTTTGGCCAACATTTCTTCTTCAGCCAGCAGGATGACAAGATGATGGTCCTGTAGATAGTGGCAGGCAGGCCTGTAGATGATGATGACTAGGCAGTGACCAGGAACAAGCTTCTAAGCCTAGTTGTCAAGTGGGTTCTGGGATGAAGTGGAACTAATTCATCAACTCCTTCAACCATGGGACGTGAACTTGGGAGTTCCACACTTCACAAAACTAGACATTCTCTTTCCTACCCCAAGGTTCAACAAAGACAAATAAGAGCTTTTTTTAAAAGTATGGAAAGATGTACAAGGAGGATTCCCTTCATTCTCACTGGTACCCTTACTACATTTTCAAGCTGATGTCTTTGGAAGCATGAAGGCTTGTGCAGAATGTTGGGAAGAGGGTACCAAGCTGGCCAGCATTCATTCTGGTAATATAATATAACTGATAATAGGCAACCAAGCCAACCGTGGCTGGTTCTTAAAAGCATGTGTGTGATCCACTTTTCTCTTTCTCATCCATACAAGCAAATGTGATGATCTGTCCTTCTAATGCTCTGGTGCTCCGGGCACTTAAGACCAGCATTGCCTCTAATAGGTTAGGGAAGGAATTTAGCTGGGTGTATTTTTCTCTAAATAGTCCAGGAGGAATTTAGTCCATTAAATTCACAGAGTTACAGGATTTCAAGGGAAGAAAATATAGTCGGGACATTTGTTTATCATATTTAAGAAATGTTTTCATAAAGGAAATTATTCTACCTCCTTCGATGCATGTGATTGGTGTAGCTGTGGAGAGCAGCTGTGGGCTCAATTTGGCCTGACCAATTTTAGTGTCTCAAGTAATTTAGTAAAAATGAATGATGTAAGTTTTTTTCCTTAATGTAACAATTTTCTCTTTTCCTCCTTCCAGGATTAAGTTGTCATCATTCTGGGAAGAAAAAGAAGAAGAAAAAATACAAAAATAAAAAAAAATTAAAAAAAACACTAATGAAGTGGCCAACAGTGCTGGGCTCCTGGATCAGTTCCCTTCTGCCCCCTGTGGTGGATTTCACTTACAAGAAAATTGAAGCTGGCAAGACCCTGTTTTCTCTGCAATTTATTTAAAACCTTGCACGCATTTGGATACGTTGTGATTCCCAAGAACTATGTGAAGATTAAGCTTTGCTTACTGATACATGGCATGTATTCTTTTCAGTCTTTTGTGTTTGATTCTGTTTGATTTCCCTCTGCTGCACAGTGTCTCTGTGAAGCTTTTCATGCTTTTGCCAGCCATGTCTTAAATACATGAAGACAACACATTTGGTGTTCACACTTCCTCAGCAATGTCTGCACTTGAAAGCACACAGTGGCACGAGACAATGTGTATTTTCTTTGCGAACAGAGTGCATTCTTCAACCACCAGGAAGGATATTCTTATTGCTAAAACAAGCCCATGCTTTCTGGCCGACTAGACACCGTGGTCCCAGACAGTGGGGCTCGACCTGTTGCTTACTTTTGAGGACGTTTGGAAATGTGGGGTTTTCTTTTTTATTGGAAATGTCCCCATATTTATAGGAGCCCAGAATCTGCTTAGCATTTCCAATAAGTTTCTGAGCAGGTTGTGGGTAGAAAAACAAGCACCAAGAACAAAGACAGGAATGAAGGCTGTTTTTTTTTGTTGTTGTTGTTTGTTTGTTTGTTTTTTGTTTTTTTGAGTTTTTTTTCCTTTTAACCCGTAGAAAGCAAGGCAACTTTTACATGTGTTCTGGGTCTTGTCAACATTTAATTTTTTCCATTAACTCTGTTATGCTCTTTATTTTTTAACTGGAGAAAATAGTGAGGAATATCTTTCTTAAAACTTGGGTGCAAAAAAAAAAAAAATCTGTCAGGGTGAGTCCTGGAAGCCATCTTGGCTGATTAATGCTTAAAAGGCAAATTTAAAAATTATCTACCGTTAAAATTTTTTGCTCACTTACAACAAAGCACCTTTGAATTAGATTGTTCAGAAACATTCCAAGCCGTTCAGAAGGCATCACTGGGTACCAGACTTTAAACCACTCTCCCGTAATAACTGTTCAAGTTCAGTTCTTAAAAGCAATGCAGGAATTTTGCTTTAAAAATAGAAGTGTCAAAGAAAGGTCTGGCTTCCCTTGTTTTAAGGGGCTCTGGGACCTTGGAAGATGAAGGCAAGTTTGTGTCACGGGGAGAGGGGACTCTGGCATATACTGCACCTTGATCTGGGGGAGCTGCCCAGTGCCAGCCTCTTCCACAAGCAGCCTCACCACAGAATCCCAGGAAAGCTGGGCCCAAGGGACAGTTTGGAAACTTCACATAAAGAGTGCCCTTTGCACATCCTGACACAAATCCCCATGGAAACACATCTGTGCACATTGTTTTATGTTTTACTGCTCCTGAGAAAAGAGGAAAAACTAAGAGCTTGAAAGGTGTCACAGTTTTAGGATCAGGCCTAGGAATATGATCCACTTTGACAAGGGCTTTCTGATTCTTGAATGAGGGATGGGCTTCTTTGTCGTCAAACCCAGTGTGTCCCTGGAAGCAGAGCCAGCTTCCTAAACTTTCAAAGGCATTGTCTCGGAGTAATAGGCATAACCTACCCTCTGGCCTATCCAGAGGGAGCAGGAACTGCGATCTTGGAAACCCTGAACAAGGAATTGCTTCCTGAATGGTTTGGAAGAAGGCAAACATGTCATACAAGGTGACAATGTTTCCTGTTTGCTGCCTGGGAATAATTTTCATCCCTCTTCATACATTCCTTCCCTGGGAAGTCTTCACAGGTATTTTGATTTAAAGTATAATTAAATTGGGAGTTCTTTAAGTGGGGAAAAAACTTTATGTGTAATTAAAAACAGCATCCCCTGTGATTTGCTTAGGATCCTCCATTCATCTGGGGGGAGGGGGGAGCATCATGTTTATATTTCACTAAGTATAAGTCAGGAGCTCCATGCTAATGTTAAAAGGTTTCAAGTAAGATTCAAGTAAGAAGGTAAAGGCAACTAGAGATCCATGTCCTTGTCTAGACAGCTTCTCCTGGGAAGTAAGACATAACACTGCTCGGTGTGGGGTCTGCCTCAAGTCAGGCACCTCTCAGGTTAGAAGGGTTCCGGTTCCCATCCTTGTCATCAAGGAAGGAAATCCAAAGTGTCTGCCCCCTCCAGCCTCGCACAGTCATATTCCCCTTCCCCTGCTCTTCCCTTCTGCCCTCTCTGAGGGCATCATGAAAACCAGTACAGACTACATTCATTACCTGTTATTATACTATTGAGAAAGCGCTGGAATGCTTGGTGAGATTATTTTTCTATGAAGGAATAGCTTGAGTTTAGACAGCTGGTAAGAATAGCACGGACACCTTGGCATGGCGATTGTATCCACTCCCCTTCACTGCACACAGTATTTGGAAAGGAAGTATGGTACTTAGTTTCCATTTCTTAAGGGGATCCGTTTAATTAATTAAGAAATACAAGATACATAGGGCGCGAAAATGTGTTTGCTGTACTAGCCAAAAAATTAGAGGTGTAAGTCAGGGGGAGCTGCCATGCAAGGATGAGAATGTATTTCTAGCTCTCAAGTGACTAGAAAAGCTCCAAGGGAGCCTGTGGGGACTTAGGAAAGCCAAGACCTCTTGGTACCCTTCCCTCTCTGTATGTGACAGCCACTATAATCAGTACCCTAAGTATGCGTCCATGGCAGACACCCATCTGTGAATATTATGGTTTGTAATCTTCTGTTATATAAGAGGATGTTTAGGTTGTACATACCGGGGTAGATCGTTGCCTGCCCCTATACATAGAAATATGCTGCATAATTGTGCATAACTTCCTTCTCCTTCCCCGGCTTGTACACAGAGGAAACTGTATGTTAGCCTTCCATTTCCTCGTATACCAAACTGAAAATTTTTAAATCTCAAATGAAATAAGCGATTTCCTGTTCTTACTGCCCCCTTTCACAGCAGCATATATTAGAGGCACATATAAAAATCTACATTCTTTGTTTGTGAGTGGACTTTCCATTTTTCCTTGTTTCCTCTTTTTTCTTTCCCCCTTTGTTTCTATGATGCACTGAGTTGTGTACTTTTTAATGGGGTTAGTACCTCAGATACTCATTATGCTTCAACATGACACATAGCAAGGAGAATGGAATACTACATGTTGCATATGTGTTGCCAATTGTATTTTGTCTGTATTATGAAGGATGTAATGGTTTGTCAGCTGTCATTGTTGTTTTCTGTAACATGATATGGAATAAAGTATAGCCGAATCTGCATATATCATTTGGTACCTATTCATGTGTGTAGATGTAACCAATCGTATTATTAAAATAAGAAACACAGAGCCAAGGTAAAAGAGAAAAGCCGAGAGGTCAGAGCTCAGAGATAAAATCTTACCTCCTGCAGTGCTCCTAGCTTCCCCGAGAGAGGGAGGTACTTCCTGTGTCCCTGTT